ACTCAAGGATAATAAAACTACTAGTACAAGTAAGACTTATAAATAATCATTATTTTAATGTTTTCAGTGCTGAGTATTGAGTATACAATTACAGTCTATTATCTCAAATTTCTATTCTCAAATTTCTATTTCAAAGTAATCTTATATTCGTATATTAGTATGTATACTCGAGTAGATAGATACGAATCCAATGATTCTTATTCTTAAATCGAATATCTATCTATCTATCTATTATCTCAAACCTATACCGTGACCTATACACACTACCCTTTTTACTACTGTGCACAGTGTACTAAGTAAAAACTCACTGTATACTCATATATCCAAGTCGTGAAGTTTTTCAAAGTTGAGGGAGGGGGAGGGGGTGGGTGGGTGCTGGCTGGACATGGGCGAGCTATTTAGTGATAAGCGAAAAGTGAAAAACGAAGAACGATGAACGATGTAATGATGAACGATGACCGATGTGATGGTGCGTGTATACGGTCGACGAATGCGAGGACGCTAGAAGAAGATTAATTGTGTAAGTAAGTAAGGATTTGCAGCCATGGAAGAGATAATGTAAGCTAGGTTCCTTTATTGATCTTATATATACTCAGGCTGTGAACCTGTGTGAGGTTGATATTAATCTAATACGAGTAATAAGTGTAGAGAAGAATAGAATCAGAAATTATATGATGTGAGATGATGAGAGAAGCGAGAAGCGAGAAGCGAGGGGAGAGAGGTAGGGGGGTTGAGATATTTATATGCTATTAGTCCCGATTGGCTCTTGATATTCATTCATTATTATATAGCTTATACTAGCAAGAACAACGGTCCTACCAGTACTATCAATCGCTTTGAAGATCGTGTTTTTGTTTCTACCTCCATCAACAGACTTAGTATATCTCCTCTATTCTCTTAAATGCCACTTTTTCTATACTGATCGTCTAAGTTGAATTGCCGTAGTACCCCCTTTCCCCTTTTATTTCCTCCCTCTTCCCTCTCCCTCTCCCCCCCCCCCTAGTCAGGTTTTTTAAAAGCGCTATTGGATACGTATCACAGAATTCTCCTGATTAATAGATTCAAAGAAAAGGTTTATGGAATTTTGGGGATAATAGAATACCTCAAAGGTGGTTCCCTACTATGAAGGGAATCCGATGGATGATTATTAGATAGCTTACTATAAAAGGTTCACTTCGATCGATTACTTGATGAATTCAACTACACTTTGATCCGCTGTTATATACTAGGTAGGTTTACCCGTCCCTTTGGGGAAATAAATTGGAATATCGCTACCAGACAGAGCCTTTAATTAGGAGCGTGATACTTCCTATAATGGTCATATAGATACTGATATCAAGAACCCCTAGGATAAAATCCTCAGAACTACTGGTAATCCATTCTATTCCTTCAATTATCTTTCATTTCAGTCTATGCCAACGCCGTTCTGCGAGACCAAACTTGAAACCGAACTCTCTCACAACAATTCAGGTCTTCATGACGTAATAGACTCGAATTTCTATGCTGAAAGCAAGTCTATTTCAATCCACTCTTACCTCAGTTTATTCCACTTCTGCTTCATGTATTTCCTTATACTCTCTTCCCATCTAATCTCAAATCCTCACTCATCAAACACAATATTAGATAGACACCAGTAGACATCGCAATAACCTCCCATAAACTCCTAATATCATTCGCCATGGTCTCTTTGTAAACACCTTGAACAATCCCAGGAATTTAAATACAGCCTTCCCAATGTTCTTAAGCAGTTTACTTCTCACCATGATCTCCTCCGGTATCAATCCTTCTCCAACATTTCTCTTCAAATAAATCTCCCATCCTTTCCGAAACACCATTCCACCAACCACTCCATACAACATCGATATCAACGGCCCAGTGAATAACGTCATGTCGACGAAATCGGAACTCTTTCAACTTCAATACAACATCTCTCGGCCCAACCTTTTGTCAGAAGAAGACGGAAACTGCAAGTGTCGTTGATATACAGATGGGCAGGGTAACATGAAAGATCCTACTAGAGGGAGAGTATTCATCGGTATTTGAATTAGGAGTCTCACTTAGATACGTATATATCAACTCGCCATATACCATCTCAGACTGCACGTGTCGAAGGAGCTGCACCAATGATAAATCCGGAACATGGTCTAAAACCACCACTTGACTTGATCATGTCCATAAGCTTCAAGAATTGATCTACTGGTACTGGATCCGCCATTATAACATCAACCACCGTATTGATGCCTGTAGACCCAAGCCCTCGATTATAAAGCTACCTTCAATATTTCATCATACTCATCAATAATTCCTTGGACAAAGGAAACAATACTCCTCCTCCCATCAAGCCACGCAATATGCTTCACTACCTGTTGCAAGTATGGGTAGGAAGATGGCCGAGAGACTGACGGCTATTATAACAGGATTGAGAGCTGCAATGCATATGTAGATGCAGAAGCAAATGAGAATGGGGTAAAAATAATCTTATGCAATGCTGAAATGGAACAGACATTTCAGGATGCAAGAGATTCGATATTATTCGAGATAACATTCTATATCATGATGTGGAAGTTTAGTTCATGGACGGTGTACTACACGAGATCCATTGCCTTTCTTTACCATTATAAGGTTTACAACGCAGCCCATCATTAACCCATTCTTCACGAGGAAATAAAGTAGAAAATGCGACTTCGAGACTTCAAAGCAAGCTAGCTATACAAAAACATACATTACCTTGCCCAACTAATCATAAACCAAGCCCCAACTCCACCAATCTCCGCTTACCATCAATACGTCTTATTAACAATCCAGCTACCTATATCATCCATCTATCATCTATCATCTAACATCTCATACTCAACATAAGAGAAAAGTATCAATCATAAGGAATACTTAATGCCATAAACCCAGGTATGTAGGTAAGATCTTACCAAGTCGCACAAGTCAACATGACATAACATATGCAAGTAAGCAATACACAAGCCATTCCTGCAAAACGCCAATCTTGGTATCTTTTCAGAAGAGGGGTTAAATCTCCTTATCGTACGTAACCTTACCACCCACCCACCTACCTCGAACAAAACTTTGCAACTTTTTACCCTTTCACCTTTTTACTTTTACTTGATCGTGTACTTACTCGTGATATGATATTCTCGAACATCAGCTGTAAATATTGAATTATTAACCAAAATGGAAAAAGCGATTCTTTCCCACCTGTCCTCATTCAGTCGTTCATATATCCTTCAAATACTCTCGAGAATTAAATATGGAAGATTGGATATAACGATGAAAGATCGTGGTGAGGAGGAACTAGTACCACAGTGTTTCGGTAATTCATCGTTGTTGAAAGATTTTTCGGAGCCTGCATGTTCTATTATCATCAATAGTTCCAATGTCTGGACTCGAATGTCTATTAATGTGGATTTGGTGAGTATCATTCGAAATTTGAATAAACTCAAATCCATCAAGAAAAGCTGACTGAATGAACGATGTAGGGATTTTCCGAGGCATATATGTTGGGAGAATTAGAATGCGATGATCTCGTAGCTCTTGTTTCCGTAAATCACCTACCTGCTGATCTCGAGCAATTAGTTATTTATACTCGAGTATATAAAAGAACTATTGACGAATAACCGCAGATATACATCCACAACTTCCACCTCTTCGGAACCGGCAATATATTCCTCCAATTAATCCCGCGTCTTCAAAAAGTCCTCTTCAAGCCTTCAAACGACAGTCAACGCGCACTCCAAAATGCTTCATCGCATTACGATACTTCGAATGCACTATTCGCTTCATTCCTATCTCCAGACATGAGTTACTCATGCGCAATATGGGACACCGCTGGGAAAGTTGCACAAGAAACACTCGAAGAAGCACAGAGAAGAAAAGTGCATAATATTATCGAGAAAGCATGTATTAGTCCCGAACATCATATTCTGGAGATAGGAGGTGGATGGGCATATCTAGCCATTGAAGCTGTGAAGAAAACTGGATGTAGGGTTACGGTGACTACACTTTCGGTTGAGCAAAAGATTTTGGGTGAGAAAAGGGTGGAGGAGGCGGGATTGAAGGATAGCATTGAGATATTGCTTTGTGATTATAGGGAAACTCCAAAGCCTAGCTCTGCAGGATTTGATAGGGTTATAAGTGTGGAGATGTTGGAGCATGTGGGAAAGGAATATATGGAGACCTATTTTAAGGAGATTAGCGAGTTGTTGAACCCCGAGCATGGGGTAATGGTGATTCAGGGCATTACCGTAAACAACAAGGTAAATTCCTTTCCGGTCTGATCCGCTGGAATCCAAACTGTTGGAAAGATTTCCCATCGTTGCGAAATGCTTCGATGGTCTTATTTCACGACTGAGTGTGGAAAACTAATTCCCTCGCAGCGTTTCCACGCAACTCGATCCAAGGTCGATACATTCATCGATCGCTACATCTTTCCAGGAGGGTATCTGCCATCCATACGAGAACTCATTGAACGTCTCGATAACGGATCTTCAGGAGCCTTAGAGCTAGAGAGCGTTCAAAGTATCGGTCCTCACTATGCGCGAACATTGCGGTTGTGGAGAGAGAACTTTCTCGCCAATTGGGAAACGACAAAGAAATTGTATGCCAATGAGAGAGAAGATATGACGGCATTGGATCTCGAGGCTTTCCGAAGAAGGTGGATTGTAAGTAGTCGCAAAGATTTCCTGATATATATGCCGTTTTTAATCTCGTGTTAGTATTACTTCAGTTATTGCGAAGCGGGGTTCCAAGCTGGTATTTTAGGGGATCATGTAATTATGGCGAGGAGGCCACAGGTTTTATCTCCGAGTGGAGTTGTGCCACTTTGATAACCACGAAACATTTAAAGGATTTGCCGGTCGATTGTGAAACAACGAGTTATAATCGAAAGGCGGGGTTTAATCTTTGACAGATTGATATCGATCGTATGAATCAATGAATCAATGAGTTATTGTGTGGTTGTATCGGAACTAATGGATTATATTTGCTTGTATGAAAATTTATTATTCATGCGGATCGTAATTGCAGGCAATCTGGTATGTTGGTTCATCACGTTATTCAGGAAGACTTCAGCAATTCGAATATCCCTTCTGGGAATAAGAGACTCTCGTATTTGGGAGAAAATCGAAGAATATGAGTATATCACTTGGTATTGGTGAGTTATGATTATAATATGTGTTATGAGAATATAGGATTGCGTATGTCTCGACAAGAATGTATGAAGTGAGATTGCCCTACTCGAGTAATGTTGAAAGAATGCTTCGGAGTTCAGAATTTATAGTCTGATGTTATTTATCTACAAAAGGGTGGTACTCATGGAAATTCTCGACCACGGAAATATTTGACAATTGATCTGAAGATTTTGCCAACCATTGAGAAGAATAATTTCACATCTATTTCGACTCCAGATATTAGGATGGAACCGAAAAGAGAGAAGCAATGGAGCTAAATGAAAGGGATAAATAAACTCTTGCACCACATCTCGTGTCAGACCGTTCCTCTCAATAATAATCGCCAAGTGGATATATAAAACTATACGATAATTTTACCACAGGCTTCCTCCATTGCTGTTGTCACGAAAATACCATAGATATAGCGTAAATGAAGCTATGTACAGTCCGAAGATGGACATTGGGAGGAGAAATGAGAATCCCGAAAGTCTTGCAGTCTGCAGATCCAGTTGAACTGCTCATACGGTCACTCGACCCCAATAGCTTTATTCCTACAACTTTCAGGTCACACGGGATGAAAAATACGTGTAACTAAGTTCTCGTAACTGTGTACTGTGGGAGTCTGGGAGACATGCTTCGAACGAAGTTTGAAAAAGATATTCGTGGATATAAGATGTACTTACACCCGTGCTGTATTACTCGTACAGATCGATAAACTTATACATGATTCCCTTTGGGAATTCGCCATTGTTGTATTGCAAACCCGGCAAAAACGACTAACCTTTCCCCATCACATATTCTCCAAATCATACCCATTACCCTTTTCAATCGATCTTTTCCAAGCTTCTCTTTCCTGTACCTTCTTCCTCCACTGCAAAATCTTTGGGTACTTCTCAAAGTCCACGTATTTCTTTGCAGCCAATAAATCCATCGGCCAACTTAACATCACATCTGACCTTCCCAAATTCTTCCCATTGAACCATTCATCTGTCAATTCTTTCTCCAGATATTCAAATTGTGTCGCATATTCCGGCCCCGTGAAATTATTATGCACGTTTGACTTGACACCTCCCAGTAGAATTGACAATGGCCACGGAGATTTCTCAGCCACAACATCAAATATCAACTCAATCATGCCGATAGTCCCAATAGAAGACCCAGCAAACGACGTCAAACTCTCATCGCGAACGTGGTCCTCCGCTGTGAATTTGCCCTCTTTGTCGTACGTGTCTATCAGGTATCCGAGGATTGCACTACTTTCGGCGATGGGCATATTGTCGGATGTAACCAGGACGGGGGCTTTCCCCATAAAGTGCACATTTTTGAGCTCGGATGGCGCGCGGCTTTCGACGCGTGTGTGGCATACGAGGTTGTACTCGATTCCAAGCTCTTCGAGGAACCAGAGAATTCGTTGAGATTGGGAGTTCTGTATGAAGGGGGTGGTATCAGTGTGTGTGGGTGGGTGGGTGCGTTTGGTGGGTTGATGTTATTGGTGCAAGAGTTGAACTCGATGGGATTAATTCCCCACTTACATTGAGGTGGTGAAAGGTTGGAAGTTCTGGATTATTTGTTGAAGCCATAGTCAATGTAATGTGAAGTAGGTCTTTTGAAAGCTTGTCAACTAGAAGATGTTATTCGGTAGGGAATAGATGAAAGAGGTGTTACGATCTATATATGTCGTCCTCTCGGTTTGTGGCTCCGGTTCATTCGGAATTGCAACGTCCGAGATAGACATCCTGAGGCATCCATATCTTTTTTGTCTACGTAGTTATTCATGTTGTGAATCCTTCAAATGTGACAGCAATTATAAGATACTGTAGAGTATCGATATCGATTGCTTCAAGAACTCCCTTACATTAAAGATTGGCTTCGAGAAGGAACATGGTGAGTAGCACTTTATACAAAGTCGGACAAGTGTGCGGATATTTGCATATGCAGTGATATGGTTCGATTACCATCGGCCACAGGCAAAAGCCTCTTTCTTGTTAAGCCAACACAAGCCCTTCATCTAGTGGTTGGAAGCTTCAATCATCCCACTTCTACAGTTTTGCGACCCCTTGGTTATTATCCTTTCATAATCCTGAGTTCTCTTCGAATTCAACATCGATTTACATTCTCTTTCAAATCATTATGGCTACGATCAAAGACAAACCAATTGTTTTACACATTGGAGATCCAGTAAAATGGAACATTGATCTATATGCTCAATTTGCGGAGGACTTTACGGTTGTGCGACCTTCAACGGAAGAGCGTCAACGTGATGAATTTATCAAAGGATTGAAAGAAAATAGATGGGGCAATTTCTCCGCCATCTTCAGGCCATTTTGGAACACTGGTGGTGAAATGGGAAGATGGGATGAGGAACTCATTTCCTTGATACCGACATCTTGCCAGATATTTGCATCTGCTGGGGCAGGTTTTGATTGGGTGGATGTGGATGTTCTGGCTGAGCGAGGTATGGGTTCTTGCGTGACATATGTTGATATTATGTCGCTGACTTGATCGTGTGGATAGGCATCGTGTATTGTAACAGGTACGAGGTGACTTTTGGATTCTCATATACACGTGACTCACATGATCTCACAGTGCTGGAGCTACTACCGAATCCGTGGCCGACTTTGCCATCTTTCTGATTCTAGCTACATTCAGAAACCTCACTTGGTAGGATTTGCCCTCCCTCCCGGTGACGAGATGTCAAAAGCGCTAATATCAGGCAGGTGCACACAAGCTGCTCGTTCAGGAGCAGCAGCGTTTCAAGATTGCCACACCAACGCTGCAGTTGTGTCTCATAACCCTCGCGGCCATACACTGGGAGTCGTGGGCCTCGGAAATATCGGTTACAACATTGCCTGCAAGGCCTACCTAGCCTTCGGAATGAAAATTCTCTATTACGATGTCGTACAGAAATCTCCCTCTCAAGAAGCAGATATTGAAGCACAATTTTTCCCTAATTTGAATGAGATGTTGGCTCTTAGCGACTGTGTAGTTCTTGCTACACCTGCTTCTCCCGATGGGAGCAAATTTCTAGATCAACAGAGATTGACTAAGTTCAAGGAAGGAAGTAGGTTTGTGAACATTGCGAGGGGAGTCTTAGTGGACGAAAATGCATTGGCCGATGCTGTTCAGTCGGGAAAGTTGGTGGGTGTGGGATTGGATGTTCATGAGCATGAACCTAGGGTAAATGATCGATTGAAGGCCTCAAGGAATGTTACGCTTACGAGCCATAATGCTGGTGGGACTCTTGAGACGTGAGTCAATTCTTCTTTTGAAGGCTTTGAGCTTTGCTAATGTTTTGCAAGACATATTGGATTCGAAGAGTTATCGATGAAAAACATCGATGCAGTTTTAAAGGGAAAGGAAGCATTAACACCGGTTAACAAGCATTTGATGGGAAAGACTAAGCTAAATTTGTGATTGAAGCATTGGTAGGGACTGAATGAGCATAATCTTTCAGATTTAAATGCCTCATGACACTCTTCAATATCTAAAACTATTACAGACAACCCTAAACAGTCTTTCGGGCTGGCTGATTGATTTGAGCATTTCATTTGTACATCATAAGCAAACACAAATTATATCCCACCTGACAAGTCGACGATTTGACTATCAAGTCTATCGCAAATTTCTACTTGGGATCTCAGGGAACGATGAATATTCTCTATAATTCCTCACAGTAGCCTCAGGCTAGACCCTTCCATTCATATAAGTGTCATGACGTTCCATTGGAATCTTACTTTGTCAATATAAACGGCCAAGAAAAGGTTACGCCATGATTTCCAAATCGTTCGAATAATATGTCATTGCTTTTTCTCTATTGAACAACATGTCATGGAATCGATATGGTTGATGATGGGCGTCGGTATCATCGTTCCATCTCAACTCTCGCCATGATAAAGTTCTACTTGGGTAATCCAGACAGCAGTTGATTTAGAGGCGTAATCCGGGTGATATATGTTTTACTCACAAATTCGTCAATGTCAAAATTCGTGTCATTTATCACTTGCTTCATGCATATTTTCACGCATTTGGAGATGCATATCATGGAAAGAAATTAATTGTCGGCTATGAAATGGCTTAACTCAATGCACCACCAGCTTCAACATGATCAATTAGTCGCCAGTCAGTACAAACATTCGCAACCAATTTTTTGACAAACTTCTGACTTTTGCCATGAGAAGCAATGAGTCTATATCTCTCTCGCCCATATTAGTTTGAATAGAGGGAAGAGACTTTTCGCATATCTCAATCCCGATAAAAAGCTCTTTTGTTACCCGTGCCGCCATCCAAGTCCCTTTCCACGTTTGCCTACAAGAGGTTTATTGTCGTTGTCGACCTTATCCGAGACATTTAAAATATAGCCGTCACGATCTCTAACACCACCATGCGCATTTTTACATCTCCACGTACTCGTGAAATCATACCAATATAGTAGATACCCATACTGATTTCTTCGATCAACACCATATCCGGTCGTGGGTTCGTCGTAGCGTGAACTTTCTCTTATGGGGCAACGAGTGAGAGTCCAGATGCAGCTACTCGTGCCATAGCTACCAGGACGTTCGTGTTCCATGGGATCTTGATCGTGACAAGCATCACCAGTGCGGGCTCCGGCGTGCCTTACACTAGTACCACTATTCGAAGTATTATCTGATGTACCCGTTTCCGGTCCCTGATCTTTGTTTCTCTCTTCTACAAACTTCATCCATTGGAGAGATCTGCCCCACTCATCTTTCACATCTCGATGTCTGTCGTTGGAGACCAGAGGATCCGTTGGAACTTGGGAGTATGCGCCAAGCTGAAGCTCTCGGAGGAATGGTAGACCCGTGATCAGTTTTGCTACAATACTGTCTACCATGTCTTCATCACTCATCTTTTTACTCTTTTTGAGATCGTCGCTCCATCCAAATCGCTCCCAAGTGCGATTTGGATACCACTGGTGAAGAGTAAGCTTGCGTAACCTTGGACAAATCTCTCCTATGATCACCGCATAGATCGGCAATATTGTCCCGAAGCCAATATGAGAATCTTTATCAGCATTGGGTAGAAGTATCGACTTGAACATTCCCTCAAATTTGATGTCTCTCAAGTGTGAAGCATTCTTTCGTCCAATATACGCAATAAACCGAATGAATGGATCTTTGTAAATGAACGCAGGGTGACGGCAATGCAGGTCAAAAAGTTTGTCTACAGCCTTGTCAAGTTTCAAAAGACCAATGGCTTTTCCTTTCTCTTTTTGGAAGCCAGGGATGCGCCATGGCATTTCCTTGAGATCGCTGCGTTTATGACTGAGTTGCGTATTGAACTGATATGCATTATCCCCATAGAGAACCGAACCGCATTCTTCCTCGAATTTTTTGCAGACGCGCATGATGTCGACGGAACGGCCAAATGGGTATAATTCCACTTCCGTACGATTGATGATCTGAGGACCGAACCCGTTTCGATGGTGTACCGCGCACTGGACCTGGCGACCAGGCTCGGGATAATCGCCAATCTCGAAATTGACGACACCATTGTCGATGAGTTTTAGTTGTTCACGGGTGAGATATGTTATCCATGAGACCTTTTGAAGCAAGGGTTGGGGTTCGGAATTGTTGTCCTCTTCGCCCGAATTGTGGGCCCAAATATAGGTATATTTCCGGTCATATCTGCAATGTTTATGTTTCGCATTTTCTTTGCCGGTTGACCATCGGGTTTCAGTTGTGCGAATTTCTGGCAGTATTGTGACTGGTCTCAGCAGAATGTGTCGCCAGATCTTGTCGCGAATCTCTGATATTTTCATTAGCGTCTCAATACATCAATAGGAGAACTGACTACTTACCACGTGGAAGTTTATCAAGAAATGGACAAGGCTTGCTTCCTGGGGACTCAACTTTGGTACCTGTGGCGACCATGGCGTATGCTGTCGGAGCACTGGAGGGTCCCAAATCAACACCCGCCGCCCTCTGATCTAAACTTTCCTTCATCGTGCAAATCTGTTTAGAAATTTTGCTTGTTGGAAATATTGGAGAGTATTGCGAGATCAAGGTATATCGAACGAACTTCTTGCTAGGTTTAGGAAGCTGAATCGATAATCATTATGCGGGGAACGGAGCTTTGGCGTCGTTTATCACAGTGAATATCGTGAAGGTCAGTGGCGGGGATGAACAACTGGACGTGAATATCGCTAACCAGGGGTGTTCAATTAGATGACTGAGATTTTGCACGTTCTCTGTTTCCATACAGATTGATATTGATATGATCCATTAGATCAATTAAATGTTATAAAAAGTGAATCGACTTGATTGTAGAGGCACTCATATATGTAGAAGGAGAGCGCTAATACGTCAGAGCGCATAGGTCAAGCGTCTTATGTAGTTATATGTATGTATGCGGTAACCATATTCCACTGTTACTTATACTTTGGGAAGTTACAGGCTACCATATTAGCTCCTTGCAACTAAGCATTACGGGCTCAAGACTTTACATAGCTACAATCTTGCATAAGAGCTGGAACTAGCGTGCGGCGGGCGAGTGATAACAATAGACTTCACGCAATACCATTCAATACGATTAGATTTCGGAACATAATGACTAAATGACTGAAGGGAATTATGGTAATAAAGCTAAATCCATACGGGTTGGTGGGGATAATTAGTCAGAAAGTAATAAGGTTGCTTCACTGACAGTTTAGATATATGGCAGAAGTGGTTCATATTTGCGCGGCGCTAAAACTGTTCTATGCGTGTTTGCGGGCCTCCGCTAAATGTACTGGTCTTTACAATTCTTCGAGCTCTGCCATTGGGCCGGAGATGTCCTCAGAGTTCTTCGTCATGAATCTCCTCCCTGCCACATTATCAGCCTTGCTTCATCTGGTCTCTATGTCTCTTCTCTACGAAAGACATCCATCGCAGAGACTTCCCCCACGCATCGTCTGTCTCTGGGCGTGGGACTTTGACATAATCACCCAGCTGCAGATTTTGAAGTGTAGGCAGTCTTCCTACAACGCGTCCGACAATCTCGTCGACCCTATCCTCATCAGTCTCAGTCTGAGCATTATCCAAATCAACCACTCGAAGAATTCCATCCTCGGGCTCCTCTCCGGCAATGTCATGAATTGTAAGCTTGTGGAAGTCTGTGCATATCTCTCGTATGATAGCGGTATAGATTGACAATCAACTTCCAAGGCCAAGGTATTCGTTGCCTAGAAAATCCGTATCCGCTCTGTATGCTGGCTTGAACCTTCCAGTGATTTTGATATCCTTAAGCAATGAGCTATTCCTGAGCCCAACAATTCTCATGAAATAGACAAGTGGATCCACACCCAAGAACCAGGGACTCGGAAGTGGGCTACTCCAAAAAATGAGCTTCTCGATCGCCTATCTTCGCTTGACACAACTACGAGCTACTCCGCCATCAAATGCCAAACCTGGAATGTCCAATAGTAAATTTTTGAGATCTTTGTCCCTGGATGTTCGATAGGTGTGGAATGCATACGAATTTTCCCCATAAAGAATGAGAGCACATTCGTATTCGATCTGTTGGCAGGTTCGCATAATCGCAGTGGAGTTTAGGCCGAATGGCTCCAATGGTAGCTTGGCACTATTGATGATTTGCGGGCCATGGCGCTTCCTATGGTGCACATCGCATCGTACCTTATCCCTGGAGACGGCTTCCATTTCGGTATGTTCTGTATCAAGATTGATATCTGGACCCAACGTGCCGTTTTGGGTAATTTCTTGTTCTTCCTTAGTTGGATTTGATGTCCATGAGATCGATCTGATCATCGGAAATTCGCCATTAATCCACGGGCAGTCATGGTCAAATAAGCCTTGTTTAGGATATTGATCCCATTGATATGCAAACTTGCAGTGGCTTTCATCGTACATTAATATGCGTCCGTCTTTATCTACGTTGTTGGAGGCAAAAAATGCTCCGATTTTTCGGTAATATTCTCGCAGGTTTTAGAAGTAACAGTCGCCATATTTTGTCTCGGATTTCTGCATAATCTATCAGTAAAGAAGGATTTCAAGATGGAAATTCCCATACCACGTGGTGACTTCTCAAGAAAAAGACATGTTGTACTTGTACTCATATTCTCATTCGGTTCGACTGCGACGACTGGTAGAGGCGCGCGTGTAAATGGGGACAGGATTTTACCCTTGATCCCACATATACGCTTCTGTGCATCCATGATATTCTGAAGTTGCACAATGTGTTCGGTGATGGGTTTGAAGGAAAAGTTGATATTATGATCGATTTAAAATGTATTTGGTTCGTGTTGTAAGTTGTGTCAAGAGTTTTAAGATTTTCGAAATTAGAGAGTTTAAAACGTGGATGCTTTCTACTGAGTAAAGAATGGCGGGGTTGAGGGGAAGCTGTAGCGGTTCAATGCTAAAATTAGCGAACACAGGATCAATACACTAGCTTGCTTGGGAGGTGGTGTATTGCAAAGTATCTCGAATCTTCTGAAAATAATAAATGATCTTGAATGAATAGTACGGTGGGGAAAGACTAATTACCAATTAGACGACTAGCATGTAAATTTTTTGCGGAGGTTCAGGTGCTCTTTTAACGAAACTCTTTATTTTGATACCTGAAAGATTGGTCAAGCTTTAAATATGCTAAATCTTTTAGTCATTGGATATTTCAGAGGAATTAGATTGCATAGGGGACTGTAGACTTGGAGAATATCACAGAAAGTTTAAGTAAAAGAGGAAAAATATGGTATGATAATTAATAGTTGAATTTGCATAAGCGAAAGGAATATGACGGGTATTTTTTATGCTTCAAAATATAGATGTGAGAAGTTAGCTGGAATGAAAGCTCTTTAATGGAGCTACTAATGACAATGTCATGAAACCACCCCGACAAATTCTAGCCATATCAAAGCCCTGCTGCCTTTATTGTGACGCGAAAAATAACACTAGTGCAATTTTAACACACTCTCGTGAATTAAACATCGGTGACGCATCGAGCTTCTATTGCCTTCTGATACTGTGCCTGCGCATCTTTGCGGCTCTTGGCTCGTTGTTGAACAAACCCCATCCACTTCAAAGCCTTTCCCCATTCGTCATTTGGCTGCTCATGGACCGATATATCGCTACCAGGAACACCCGGATCGTAACCACAGCCTGCTGGCACAAATTGATATAGGCCTAATTGCAAATTTTGAAGATATGGAAGCTCATGAACGAGTTTCTCGACAGATTCGCTTATTTCCTTGTCCTTATCAATCCCCAACGGTCCTAGTCGGCTTACCTGAGGATAACCTTGGTCGTCGTCATGCAGAATCACTGTATGGATATTCTTGCATACGTCCTCTAGAATCAAAGTATATATCGGGAGAAGTTCATGAAGTCCAACTGCCTGCGATCCTGTATCCTTCCATGTGCCGTGAATCCAGTTCCATCTTCCTTGGATGACGATCTTCGTGATGTGTGGCGCATTATTACGGCCGATCTCCGTTAAGAATCTGGTAAATGGGTCTTGGTAGATGAACTTTGATGATTTTTCTTGATTCTGCTCGAAGATCATGTCAATGGAGCGATTGATTTGTTGCCTATTCGGTAGTGTGCCGTCATCACGACAACGACCTGGAATTTCATTTGGCTTATGGGTGAGATGCTTCATGGTAACTACGGTTTGAGGCTCGACGAAAGGTGAAAGACCGCGTGTGTCGAACAAGAAGGAGTTTTCTTCGTAAAGTACAGTGGTTCCCAATCTCTCAAACTTCTTGCATGAACGAAGAATTGCAACACCAGATATCGCAGTGATAGGAACAGTCGATCGATGAATAATTTGAACGCCGTAGTCCTTGCGATTATGGATAAATCCTTGGATCTCCTGACCGTCTTTAGTAACGGTGGTAAGTTGATTATAGCCATCTTCGATAATTTGAGCCTCTTCTCTAGTGGGACTGGCAGCCCAAAAGACCTGTATTTTCTGGCCTTTAACAGTCTTGGGAAGATTTTGACTTTCATATTCTTCTTGACGTGCCTCGCTCCATTGATATCTGTAACGTAACTTCGGGGCAGAGGCCCAAGGGCCCTTTTCTCGAACGATCCCGGGCATAATATGTGTCGGTCGAACTAGTAGTTCTCGTAATATCTTCTTTAACACGTCTAAAACTTGGTCAGGGGATTTATAGAGCTGAGTGGATGAACAAAAGACTTACTGGTTGGAAGATCTAGAAGTCGCTTGCGAGTCTCAAAGATAGGCCTATCCTTCAAAGACAGGTCTTTCAGAGAGGCAAAAGGATTGTCGTAATCTTCTACTCTGAGTATGTTCATCATAGATTTGTAAGCATTCATTGTTCCCGGAAATTTATGAAGCTTATTGTCTGCGTTATCGTTGAAAGTTATTAAAATCTCAGAGAAAAGAAGATGTTCTAGAATGTAGCTAGAAATTCGGAATGAGAAGTATGTGTACCACAGCATAGTAAGACTTACAATCCGGAGACTTTGACACTACAGGTTATGTATGCAGCCGTACTATCACGACAAATTCAACACAGTGTATGAGGTCGAACGTAATGGAAGCTTCTGCAAGTCTACCGTATCACGAAAGCACTATGAATTTCTAGCTCTGAATTGGCTTAGATATCATAGTCTAACGTCGTGTAAAGAGTGTCTCAGAAAGCTATGAATAAATCTTGAACCGATATGCACAGGTTTATTTTGGTATTCGTCGACTACTTGTGACATTGGAAGAAGTTTCTCTTAATTCTTGCAGACCTGGGCATGAGCTTTATGGGCATAGGGCTTATGAGAGGTATTTCATATGTGAAACCATTCATATATTCACTGAAGATGTTTGATGGATAGTGATTCAATATCGGTAAGCAGATTGATTTATCAAGTGATAGGGTCTGTCATCCCATTCAATACACCAATGTCTTCGCCATCCTGATCACCATTAATATGACTAATTTCAAACTAGTAATTTGAATCAATCATTTTTCTGTTAAATCACGGAGAATTGGCAGACTAGAATATACAATCAAGGTTGGGGAAATACTAGAATGGAGAATAGAGAACAACAATTCTAAGAGCGTCACTGGCTGATCAAATCTAGTTCGCTTGCCATCACACCTAAACGGTCCTTGACTGTATTTTGAATTTGAGGAATGACAATATAGAATCGTGAGAATTTGTCCCGACATCCTTTTGCCACAATACAAGTTTCGGATAGAGACTGTTCGTCGTCTCTAATGACTATAGAAGTCGATGATAATGGGAATCTTCGACAACTCAAGTCTCTCATGGTTTAAAGACATGGGCTCCGCTCGTCGCTTTGGGAAACGTTCATGGGATGGATGTTATGTCAAATGCTCATGATTTGAAGGGGATTAGTAACTCCTTTACTAATACAGTACTTGAAATTTAGTGGATAGGGAATTCTGAGATTGAAGATATAGGACGGGGAATACGTATCTTTGTCTCGAGTGTTCCAACAATCAGGTAAGGGTGCCTACCCAGCAACTGACGTTTGGGTGATAGACCGCTTATGATTGATGTGTGTCGAACCAGAATTGCTACCAACCACTTATTTTATCAGTCTATACAACCACTGGCGAGCCTGCCTATCCGAGTCTCCCCAGTTTGAGCCTTCCTCTCAACGCACAGAATGATCTTCACCCCCATATTGAAGTATTCACCACTCTACCGGCGGAGATCTGTAGTCAAAGCAATCCACTGTGTCAGAAATTATATAGGGCTCAGGCGAAAGAACTAATTACATCCACAAAATTGCACCAAAACACCTCTTGGAGTCCTCAGCTACATGGATTTAGGAACATATCCACTGCTAAATTCTCCACATGCTGAGGAACCCATTGGACTCTAAAGCTTCCAATGCCAATGTGTCACGAGTGAGCCATCATTCGAGAAATTGTGATACATCCGCAACCTGTGGTTTAGAATTAGGAACGAAATATTGAATGTCGAAGTCCTCATTGTTTATAACTGCGGTCGACCACGCTTTAATAACACAAGGGCTAAATCCATGCCGTCATTGGAAATCACGATTCACGACGATGTTGTTTAGATTGGTTGAACGTGATGGGGTTGAAAAACGTTGCGAGAATAAAAGGGATCTTGACAGATGCTTGTATGGGGCAATAGATAAACGGCTGATGCTGGCTGCCATATTGGTTTGCATTTTGGTTGGTCAGAGTTTTACGGTTTTGAGATACGTTATTCGGTTTTGTTTGGGCAAATGACTGATAAGAAAAGTAATGCGCAAGACTGATCTCGTTGTGCCTTTCGGTATGGATCACGGTTGGTGCTGAGAGTTATGTACCATTGATGCCGGTTGCGATTCCATTTTTATTCACGTGGTTATACTGTCATCAGTCTCTGACTGTAATGCGGGTTTGGGCAAACTATCTATCTGTCAGTCGTGATATTAACGGTGCACCTGGGCCGCATCTTCATGCTCGTGTGCTACATATGTGTTAGACCTACCGTAATTTATAAATGCTTGAAATCAGCCCATATGTTTTCATGAAACGGGAGGAGATAGCCAGCAGGTCTAGAAGATGGTATTTATGAGAACCTCCAGCCACGCTGGAATAATCAACCCTCATAAAGATCCACTCAACCGAACGTACCAATATCTTTTAACTTCAGTGACGTCCCATATCCACGCCTATCTCCCTCCCATAAACCATGGATTTCCCACTCGAAAATGTCTTCCCAACCTGCTGCGAATCCCTCAAACTCAGCAACCCACTCAGCAATCGACCCCCAGAACTCACACATTTCTTCGGCCCCAGGATCGTGAATCCGCTCCGAGCACTCAACAATCGTCCTTCTATGACCATGCCCGTCGGTTCTCCGTACGTTATCCAAATTACACCCGTGTACCGGCAAGAGTTAGGAAAGAGACCATCACGATTTTTCTTTAGAAGACCTGAAAATCCGGATCCGGAGGGTTCGAATCAGTTTATATTGCTCTTTTCTAACTCGTGATTGAGTGAGGAGGAAAATTTGAGGGAAGCTGGGTATGGAGGGGAGCATTTTTTGCTGGGACTGTAGAGATGGTACGCATGAGTGGTCGTATGAGGCGTTGGTTTGGAGTCGTTGATTTGGAGGATCTTGAGAAGGGTTACCTTTGGAGAAGAGCAGAATAAGAAGGCTCATTGGGCGTCAAATGGAGTAGAGAACAGAGGGAGATACTCTTAGCTATTCATCATCGCCTTGGAATTTATGTGATTGAAAATACTCTCAACTTTGACGAGGATAACAAGTCTATATTGTATATCAGATCATACTTACAATCCAAAATACGTGACTTCGAAGTACCGGTATGCCAACTAATTGACAAAATGACAATGCAATCCCGGATACCCGAGACAATAGGGGGGATTTTGCACAGACATTGCTTTGGGGGAATTGCCAAGCTCTTGGCTAAATCTCACCAGTCAGTATTTTAAGACAACAAAATCCAAATAACTAATGCGTTGTCACAATAAAGTTGTCCCCCAATCCCAAACCTAAATGCATCCCATCATCCCACAAATCCCTTAACACAACCCCTGATGCGATCAATCCGGGAGATCTACACTCTACACCACAAGTTAGCGCTTACATGGACCTAATTGCACCTGAACCAACCCCATCTCACAGGCCACTTACCGGCCTTACCTATTACGCCATAGCGCCTCGTTTCAACTTGGACTTCTTCTTCTTCTTTTCCCTCACCAAACAAAAATGTCAACCTCAGAAAACCAAGATGCACGATGATGCACAAACTGGAATTGAATACGAGAAAAGATACTTTTTGTTGATCTGATTCGTATTGATTTGTCACTTTTAGTAGGTTATTGATTTGGTCAAGTCAAGTCAACTTTTTCTTTTTCTTTTTCTTTTGTTATTGTTATGTTTGGATGATTACCTTTGCCTACGATTTGGTCAATTTATCACTGGTTGTACGAAGTAGGTTACAGTATTGATTTTATTTTGTTATTCACCTCGATTCCAGTTCCTATTCAAGTATCTTTCATTTTGAGCTTCTCTTCAACATTATATATCTTTCGTTATTATCGATTAATATACCCGGGCCTCGGCCAGCATTCTCTAGAATGAAGCTATTTTCACTACCACCCATTCCTCTGGCTCTATTCTTCACGACTCTCACCGTCCTCGCACAAAAAGATAATGGCGAAGAATGTTCATGTTTTCGAACCGATAGTGCTTCATCTGGATACTTTACATACCACCGATTTCACGATTTTCGAACCGTGGCCACAGCTTCGCAGACGGTTCCGGAGTTGATTTCAAATGAGGGTGATTCCTCAAGTGCGGTTGTAACGTCGGATTTCTTTTCGGGTAGTGCGTGGAATAATGATTGGTCGACTCAGAGTTGGAATAATAGTGATTCAATGAAGGAGAGTGGGAGCAGTGTGTTGATGGTTAATTCTCCAAATAATGTATATATCGGTACGCTCTCAAACTTTCTCTTATCTCCGTCAATGGAATATTAACATAACATCCCCCAGAAACCTCAACCGACAATGATACCTCCTACGATACCTACCTCACCCTCCGCACAGCCCGCCTGGAAAATTTCCAGTCCGTCGCCGAATTCGACTCCAACGAAAGGAACTTCAAATACCTTTCCGCCCGCTTCCTAGCCCGAGTTATTGGTTCCGAAGGAGCATGCGCAGGAATCTTCACCTATCTCAACTCCAATCCCATCCAAGAAGCCGATATTGAAATTCTCACCTCCGGACCCCGAAACGTAGTCCAATACACGAATCAACCATCTCTTAATAAAGCGGGTGATGCCGATCCCCGCGCTACATCGAATGCTTCCACCGCAGATGGGGGTATGAATTGGAGTGTCTGGAATACTTATCGAATGGATTGGATGCCAAAACAAACATCCTGGTATATAAATGGCGAAAGTGTTGCGAATATTACATACCAGGTTCCGAAGTCTCCGAGCGGATTGATATTGAATATGTGGAGTGATGGCGGAGAATGGACGGGAAATATGTCACTTTTCGATGAAGCATTTCTACAGTTTCAGTGGATTGAAATAGTGTATAATACTAGTGGAGAGTACGCAGGGAGTAAGAGGGAACTGGAAACGAGGAAGGACAAGGGATGTCAAGTTGTGTGTGGAGTTGATGAGGGGGTTAATGTTACGGGGACACCGGTGATGTTGATTAACAATACGAATCTTGGAACGCTGGGTTGGAAGGAGGGTTCGGGGAGTATGGGATGGATTCCGGTTGTGGTGGTTGGGTTGGTTCTTTTTGGATGGTTTTGATCTTTTGGTGTCTGAGAATTGGTTAGATTGAGGAATGGGGTTGGGGTTGGGGGGGAGGGGGGGTGGAGGGTGGAGTACGACGCATGTTCGGAAAATATACATCTATATATACGGGTATAACATAGGTTGGGCGTATAGGTTGGGTGAATATCTGGTTTTTTCGAGCAGGTTACGATAGAATGAATGAATGAGGATTTCGAATCACTACACAATCACATCACTCACTTGCTAGTGCGCAATATCAACCAAGCGGGAGCTCGTCACAGTATCTAATCTAATCTAATCCAATCTCTACTTTTCGCTTCTCCAGATCCAATTACTCCCAGAAATAACACAACGGCATATATCATAGTATAGTTACAACTCTTATAGGTTGCAGGTGGATTTTTCTGGAGGATTTATTGGATGAGGATAGAGTAGGGGAGGTTGATCTAGATACTGTATTTATTTGTATTGCCGGTAAGTAGAGTACTGGTGGATGAAAATTATTCTGGTTAATGAACTTTGAATAGAAGTTAGATGTTTTGACAGTTCTTTCGGTCTGAGGGTGAATAGTATGCTGGGTACTTGTATACACTGGAGTATACTAATCAAGTTTAGATGAAAGAACAGGATAAGCCTAGTTCATAACCACGAATCTTCGGAGTCTAATATCCCTTTCTTCCTTATCTATACATTATTCCAGTCACTAATACAGTACTTTTTAGTTCTTTAGTTCTTTAGTAAATTAACCAAATATTCACCTCTCTCAAACCTCGGGCCCTCTCATGTTACAGTATCTCGCTTAATTTTTGGCAGAACTACAGAACTACTGTACCAGTACAGATGAAGAGAGTATTGTAGTGTAGCACACTGTGTTGTTTGAATGTTTGAACTGCAAACATTGGATTGCAAGCATCTTCACTTCTCAGGTGGGTTTTTCGGTAGAGAATGGGGGAGGGGGGTTTCAGGTGTGGTTTGGATTGGGAGGGAGGGAATCGGATGAGGGTGTGTGTGAAGGGTGTATTACTGTGTGTATAAAGGGGTTTGGTGGGAAAGTGGATTTGCGGCTGTTGATTTAGTTGTTTGTTTGTTGTTGTTGTTGTTGTTGTTGTTGTTTGATATTGGATATTGGATATTAGTGGAGATGTGATGAGGTGTGATGAGATACGACTAGAGAAAGTATACTAGAAAGTAGATTAAATCCTAGTATTTTCTGAAACTGTAGACTTCGAGTCTCGGGACTTCCGTTCTAAATGGTTGTATTGTTATTATCATCATCTGGAGTCAGAAGGTAGAGTCGGTACATTAGAAGTTACAGTGTAATTTCCTACTATCTGTTTTCAAATGCCTATACATTACATACTACAGTGCATTCATTTTGACTCTTCAGATATCCTATGCATTTGGCAAACCACCATGGAAGGCTTGTATGAGATGGATTGCATTCAATCGAGCTGTAGGAAGCTCATGGGAGTTGAAGCTAGTTTATGATATGAGCTGAGAGGGGTGGCAATGGATTTAAGTCGTAGTGAATCATCGGTGTCTATTCTTCCGTCACACTCCACTGCTTCAGTTCGTCGAATGATATTTATTTAGTTATTGAATTGTAGACATCTATCGCGTCATCATATTATTTGAGGTATCTAATAATACTCTATTTCTAGATATATCATCGTACCCCGCACTTAGCGCTAGCACTACACTTTTTGTCTCGATTACAATTCTCTTATATTGTCTATTTAAACATTTGTCTATTTAAACATAGAATAGCCCGATGTCTCATATCTATAGTCATTTCTAATACCATTCATCTATCAATCATAGTATTTTTAGTAGTCAATTAACATATCACATTGATGGAATGACAGTTTATTCAAAATTGATATAATGTAATCTTACATCTAGATTTCATGAATGACTCAGAAATTAAATAAACATGGCTATCACTATTGCAGATTAATACTTGTTGTCGATGGCTTTTGGGAGAAGTTGGTACACGGGATGGAGTAGCGGTGTGATTAGAATTAGAACGAAGGGTTCTCGTCTACTCGTAATTATCCGATCTAATTTGCTACGAGTTATTTGACAATTGACATCCCTCTAAAACGACAAGCTTACTTCCTAGCCCTAACTCATCCGTACCGCTAAACTCTTCTAAAATGAGTTTGTGTACCCGTCTACCAAGGAGAACATTGAATTTTTTGATACAAATTTGGCTTCTCCTGCTGTGGATTCTATGCAGTATAATACTTTGACTTTAAATAGGTCGAAGGCTCGTTTCAATTGATGAACGTACATCGGATATTGAAGTAGTAAAGCCCACTAGTATAATGGCCTCCAAGCCGAGGTAATAGATGAATACCTCCTCTGCTCGTGGTGAATAATTTAAGATATTCTTTTCCGGTGGGAAATTAGCTATCTAATTTCGGATAAGCCCTCCTTCCCCGCTCGTGGATTCATTCAAGCTTTGTACTTCTTAGTTGTACTCTTTTGTTTCCTTACTATTTCAATACCTTTGGGACAGGTATCATGTTCTGTAGTATCGCAGTTAACACTTATACACAGCAGAGCTTGAATGGTAACTCTCTCGCTCTGCAAATAGTCTCGAGATCTGAGTAGATAACGTGGAGAACTATAGGTAGGATATTGGAGTACTTCTGTCTAATCATCCCTTTTAGTTTCTCATTGACAAGTCTATAACCGACAATAACTAATTACCAAACCCTGTGATTTGATATGTGAACATGAATTGAATATATTAGCACGTAATGTGGTTACTGAATATAAGTGGTCGATCTTCACCATTGCTTCGCGTTAAAGTTGTTTACTAGCAAGATGGGTGACTATAGTGTCTTTTATGTTCTCTGTAACAAGTCTGTCCCATTCTCGGTATTGCTAGAACTCATTCCTGATAATGAATTTCTTAAATTTGCTGTTTTACACGGAAGGAAATTTAGATGCGTACTCACGCGAAGTAAAATGATTCATGGGCTTCTTGATTCTATTTTTAGCTCACTGTCTGTTTAAGATTTTCTAACTTGATGCTAATCAAATAAGAACATGGAGACCTAATACTTCATCACGGAAATCACGGCTCGACCCTCGTTTTGTGTGAATAATACTAGCTATCAATAAAGTATGGAGATTATTATTATCATCAAAGCTATATTAAAAAAGTAGTCTGATGAATCAAGTGTATTTATCATTTTGATTTATTGTTTCCGACAAGCCCTATATATTTTAGGTCTAATATTATATGCATGTAATATCCAGACGCCACTTGAGATACAAAATATGTCAGGAAGTCAGTCCACAGCTTGTTAACAATCAGATAGAGGCACTATAAATTGGTTCTCAAGATTTTAGAAATCAATGTTATAAAGCATTGTAGTTGTAGAAAGTATTATAGTCAGCAAGGCTGTAAGGAATCTAGTATTGATATAAAAGCTAGTCGAAAACTTAATGGGATACAGACCCAAGGGAGCCTTATATGTTGTTTTTAGATATTGTTGAACAAATCAGCTATTCTTTGATCGTTGTCTCTCATTAGTCTTGTCACTGCTAGGGGATCTATCTTGTCGGATATATAATGGATGATATGATTGGACTAAGATAACTGCTTTTTGTATGCAAACCTGTGTGGGTTCAGAATTCTGAATCTGTAGCAAAGATCACAAAAATGAGTATCCTCAACATTTGAAACAAGATGGATTGTTGTTGTTTTTCTTGTCAAATCTCTAATATCAAGTAAACTGGGACTTTCTTTGTGTTTAAATATTACTGTCCTCAGATTCTGACTCATGGTTACTGCGATGTTTCTTTGCTCACTGATGGATTTGCTGAAGGTTGAAGGTAGGTTGGAGTAGATTAAAGGTAGGCTGAAGGCGTAGATGGAGCTTCTATCTTATTCAGCTTAGATACCTGATGCCGAGGCCCCTCGGTAATTAATGAATTTATAATACAAGTGTCTAGATATTTTAGTTCTCTGCTGAAATAGTTTTTTGGTAGTGAAATGAATTAGTTATGCCTTCTATGTATCACGATTTTGAAGCTTTACGGTTCCAGTTTTGAACTTGAGGGTTAGTTCTTTCCTTTGATATTTTACTATAGCTAAACACCTTTAAGAACGATAAATAGTCAGTGTATAGTAAAGATGAAAGTCCTTGTTATGATATTATATACAAAGAACAACTTATTCACTATCCAAATTCAAACAAAAAATAGGTATATAGACTTTGGTAACTTTGTATGCCGATGTGCTAATTGCACCGGTATATGAGTCTTGGAATTGAGTGTAGTTGATCTTGTTCTCATTACAGTGTAACTTCTCGGAAACTAAATAGCCTATATGCAAGGCTTTGATTACTCCGTGTTGTTGTCTAATGTTAACTCATGCGAAATTAGTCATATTCCTTCGTGCTATTTGACACGATCTATTCCTTTGAGATATCAAATTCACTTCATTTACAAATTTATTTAGACTCTTTGAATATATTCAATATTTTAAGGCTTTTAGGTTTTGAAAACTTCACACTCAAATAAATGTAGACATCAGTTAGACTATTGGATGTTTTGATTCCAAATCTAATGAGATACATAGTGCTAACCCCTCTCGATATACATTGAACACTATACATTCAACACTTCATTTACCTATCTCTAGCTCCTTCTTTGTTGATTGTATAAGCTTTGGCAGTGATATGTTGGCGGGGGACAAGTCTAACATAAGACTGCATTGCACTCTCGTATATTCTTTGATTAAAAGTGAAAGCTACTTGATCTGCTTGTTGCTATTTGGTGATTTCAAGAATCCACAGTCCTAATTTTAGGTCTTTAAGTTAGACTGTCATCCCATATATAATTACACTATACTACTTCTAACAACAAGAATCGTTGAATAGGCCAACAATAAAGTCGTTTAATACTTACTACAGTACAGAAGCGTAATTATATACCCAACATAGGCTAGTTTATCCTGTGTCTAATCGATGCAATCACAAAGGGCAGAAAAGATCCAGACCTCGGAAGCATCAACTCCATTAATATTATAGCATCTGTGAAGTTTCAAGAGTATACTGCGACTTTAAATATCTATTTCTCAATCCAATAGAAGTAATCTGCTCGGTTGATCTCGGTAGTCACAGTGTATTAATATCCACTATATACTACAACCAATCAGAAGCCACAAGGTGAATCAAGTCACTAAACACCGAACAAGCTTAATTTATTTGGTAGAAAGGCAGATGATTTGCTTTAAAGCCCTCTCAGAATGATCCAACAAGCTGATATACACATTGACATTATCCGACCCTTGTAGCTGGAATAATTATGATCTCGAGTGTTCTCCTCACCCTTCATAACTCTTTCAATATCTACAAAGAAATTTACTCCTGGATCATCGCTTTGCTAATCGGTTAAACATCCATTTGGAGGTCTGACACTTTAGTTTGAAAATGGTGAATCTTTCTGGTCACGCAAGTTTTCCAATCCTCTCAAGCTTATTGGGCCTCGGATATCATACGTTCCATAATCAAATGTTGAAAGATCATGCGATATTCTATTGTCTAAGAACAATATAATCAAAGGAATAATACTAAGCTACCGTGATTAAGCACATTCAATCTTCTCCTACCCGTTCTCAGGCGAGTCCCCTCCCTTCCTTTCACATCAGCTTCCAGGTTTCTCGTTTTGTTTAGAAGCTAATCTCCTCAATACCGCCGGACTAACCACATTATTTCTTGACAATCTCTACTGTGACAGTGGGAAATAGTAACAGATAACACATCCCATTGTTTAGTGATAATATTATACGTTTATACATCACCTAGATCCACATCCAGTTTCTATTGAAAAATATCAACCCATCCATTCATATAAGTGCAGTCCATCATCTTCTCACATCACTTTTGACTGTCATTCCAAGCTCTATATGCTTTCACTTTAATTCAGACTCATACATAGGACTAGAAAGGCATATCTAGCTCTGTCTCCCATTTCCATAAGCTCATTCAGACCCTACCCTGACTTGCTATCTCTCTGCATAAAAAGCGCATACGTTGCTGGCGAGAAACCAAATTCTTGCTTCCGATCCATTAGAACAGTATCAAAGTGTATATAAATAGCAGAATATCGCATCCAATCAGGAGTTGCTCTGAAAAAATGCCGAGATACCAGGCTTACAGTAGATTAGATCCTGTGTAGAGACATTTTTCACTAGCAGAATGCGAATAATGGATCATTCAGCGGTCCAGCTAGCTCATATTCCCCGAAATGGCTAACTACAGCCAATTAGCTATTATCTAAATAGTCCTCTACTTCACTATTCTTGCACAATAGTATCTAAAATCCTCTAAGTAATGAAATTCAATTATGCTGACTCTATTCACCTCCCGATAGAATGAATGAAGGCACTATATAGCTCCGTGAAACCGCTCCGGACACTTACAGTTAAGCCTAACGTCAAGGACTTCGTCTCGCACAAGCCCTTTGAGAGTTGGACCAGCAATAATATATGCTGCTACTTTGACACCTTGGCATTTAAGCAGTAAAAAGAGATCATACTTGTCAAGAATCATAAATGGTTCTAGGAGGTGCTTTGGCTCTACTCGAGTAGGTAGAAAGAAATAGTTCGTCTAAACCATTCGTAACGCTGTCACTCATGCTAATTCTGCAGTTATCTGTATTTGATGGTAGTTTGATAGACGAACCATATGAATCGGATAATATTCTCCATGTAGAGTTTGTGAAATCTACAGATACGAACGGTAGAATATCCATGGATGTTTTCGCCAGTTTCTTGGAAGAAGATCTGGTGGCAATAGCAGCTGTGGATATTGAAGCAAATATATAACTATCGATAAAATAGACTTTTCTTAAAAAAGCTGATAATCTAATCTAATCAATACACATTATACGATACAATCGACTTAGCCCCTAAAACTAATGTAATTAATCTCAGATACCCCTCCATTCATGCGCAATACATTCACGTTCTACCTTCCCCGCTTTTTCTTTTGCAGCCCCTTTATTAATCAAAAGTTGGTGTTCCCCAGATTGCATAAGACAACCGGAACATGGTTCAAACGAATTTCACACATATTGTGGTCAGATATCCTCCTAATACCAATATATGGAGAGACAGGAGGTCTGGATGATGATATTTGGCGTAACGGGACTGTTTTAGGTGCTTCAGATATGCTTCCGTAGTTCTCATCTCGAAAAGAATAGACTTTTGTTATTCAGGACGCTACATATGTACAGTAGATTTTCTTAATAAACGACAGCGATAAAAGGATGATTTCTTGGGATGTGAGATATTGTGACGATACTGTTAACAAACACATATCATCCTCCACCATACCAGTAAGTACTATAAAGTTTACACATACGTCTCCAGAAACAGTCCACAGTCCACAGTCCACAAGCCTAGTAGCTTATAGCTATTGTCATCTCTCAACTCCATATCCAATTCCCCTTCCTATCTACGTGACAATTTTATAAAGACCAGTCCACCCCAGTAGATTCACCACATTAAGATACCGGTACCCCTCTGACTCAGCTCAGCCTTATCAATCCATCTCCTTCAAATTCACAAGAAATCCTTCACTATCACCACACCACACCACACCACTCTCACAAAAATCCCGTGATACAAAAACACAGCCAAGATTCCAAGCCCCAATATGTACTACAATATAAGTGCGGGGTAGATGAGGGGCATTGTGGGGCACCTTCCGATTACAGTACGACTGACTTGTACGAATGAGAAATTGTATTCGAGGTACACTCATGCTGTTGTGAAACAATACTGTAAGCCTATACAGTGTGTGTATGAAGAAGTGGAATGAATGAGTTGATGCCACTGCCACTGGTAGACTGCAATGCAAGTAGGGTTACATATAAAAGCGCACGATGAATCTGAAGTTTTCTGCATCTTCTTCTTCTTGTCATTGTTTGTCATTGCTACCAATACCGTGACAAGTTCATCATCTAACAATATGGCAAAAAAGATCATTGCAGCGGCCGTTCACGCCGCTCCAGTTTTTATGAATAAGAAAGCTAGTATTGAGAAGGTTTTAAGATTGATTCGAGAAGCCAAAGAGCAAGAGGTTGATTTTGTGGTATTTCCCGAGACATTTGTGCCAGGGTATCCGGTAGGTTTTCCATGTTGAACCTCATTATTCAACCTTAACATAACAATTTAAAAACAGTACTTTATCCAAACCTATGCACCCCTCCAGTACAGCGGCGCACTAGCCCAATATGCCGACCAAAGCGTGGTAATCGGACGAACTGGCGGAGATCTGCTCCCTATAATGTCACTTTGCGCCTCACTAAACATCGCCGTCTCCATCGGAATATCAGAGCGTGTGGAGGATGGCTACACGTTATTTAATTCTCAAGCCTTCATCGATACCGACGGTACACTCTTGGGCGTACATCGCAAGATCCAACCTACACACGCCGAACGCACCGTATGGGCTCAAGGCAGCGGACACACATTACGCGTATGGCCTAGTACCGTTGGCAGAATAGGAGGATTAGCATGTTGGGAAAACACGATGAATATTGCACGACAAGCATTGATAGAACAGCGACAGGAAATTCACGCAGCGGCATGGCCTGCCTTATCGACGGTATCGGGGTTTGAGCCTGTGGCTGATGTGCAGATCGAGGCATTGATGAAGAATCATGCGTTTACGGCGCAGGTGTGGGTTGTGTGTGCGAGTAATTATGTGGATGAGGGGACTTTGGATTGGATGGAGAAGAATCTTGGGGCGCAGGATTTGGTCAAGAAGGGAGGGGGATGGAGTGCGGTTATTCATCCTTTTTGTAGTGTGCTGGCGGGTCCGCATACGGGGGCTGAGGAAAAATTGGTGAAGGCGGAGATTAATTTTGGGGATTTGGGAGGGGTCAAGGTCTGGATTGATGCTAGTGGGCATTATAAGAGACCTGGGGTGTTGAAGTTGGAGGTGGATAAAAGTCCAGAGTGGCCGGATGATGAGATTATGGCGAAGGGAGCTCCTGCACCTTTGACTATATGATCGAGTTTCCGAGAACGTTGACGCGGGATGACCAGTGATAAGGGCTGCAAATGGAATATGGACAACGTTGTTGATGACATCGTTGATGATGAAGCTTTGATGAGAAGTATACCTTTGAGGTTATTATAGGAGAAAGTGTCTTCCGAAACAAATCAGCCAAGGTATTGAAAGACGATGATAATTACGTAGCCAGCGCTCTCCTTTCTATAGTATTATGAATGTTGGTGATTCTGTATCAGGAAACCGCAGCTTCCTGAACAGGGAATTGCTCGCTTACCCCTCGGGCTGCTCTAATGCCACCCACAACGCGGCCGCTAGCACCTTACCCCTGCACGCTTCTGTATAAATCCAACGCTGTTTCTCATCGTCCTCGTTGTCCTGATCTATCTTGAACTTCTCTTCCAACTCTTCATTTTCTTTCCCCACTTTATTTCTAAGGTATTGTTGGTCCCAAGCATATTGCGGCTGGACCTCTCCCCTGTTTGATTGCCTGTTCTGTTACCCTCGAATTTCCTTTTCAGGCCTTCGTTGGCCCTTTGACTTGCCCTTAGCTTTAGTGAGTTTTTCCTCTATCTGCAATTGTGCCCCCTTGCTAATTATCCACGTCCAGCTAAACTCGGTGTCGCCGACACTGCTCAAACCCAATTATCAATATAGAACTCTCCATCCTTATCGTTGTCGGATATCCAATCGACTTTGCCTCATGCACGCGCTTCGTTGCTTTTGTCTCCAAAGTTCCACTCTTACGCTATGCCCGAAATTCTGCCTATACCGATATACGAAAGTCCTGCCAGGCTTCCTCCTAGGCTTCCCGCTCAGTGCCCCTCTACAATCTTAACAAGCTGACGCGGAGGATCTAGATTCAAGAAATTGCCTGGGGATCATGCCACAATAAGGAGAAATGGCGTGAATCGCCAGGATTCCTGTGACCACAGTGACAGCGGTCCTATGATTGACGTGGCAGGAGAGTTATGGCACATAGGTTTGGCTTACATGAGTGACGACGTTCGAACTTAATAGGTTTAGAATGTTATTAAGCTCTTTCTTGGACCACTGGCATCAATATCTCATGTTGGTGAAGTCTTGGAAGCTCTGATATCCTAGATGATGGATAGGTAATTCAATTCAACTAGTGTCGGATTGAACGTCTAATACAAACGCAAAGTTCTTAATCAATGGTCTTTTTTACACATGGCGAGCTTGGTCTTGTCATTTTCAGGTAACGAGCAGCTGAAAATGTGGATGGGAGAGTTCTTAAGAGAAAAGGGGCTTGGATTTTAGGTTGATTTCATTTGCTGGGATTTGCGAGTCCTTTCTTACAAGGATTTTTCGAATTACGACGTCAATATTTAGGCATTCTCAAGCGTTTTATGACTCCGGTTATCTCTCATGCCTCTGGCACCCAAGTCTTATTGATAGATCGACATCTAATGATCCCACTCACCCTCCTTGTCTTTTCCCGAGATTACGCGTTCTTTTCATCATACTCTTCATCTTTCGGGCCATCGATCGGTGCAGTTGCAAATGTGACAGATGAGATAGGAGCTGAATAGGATGTGTATAAGAGATTTTGCCTTGCTTCGGCAGGGTGGATGTAATAAGGGAAAAAATCCTGCAACTGGTGTTCTGTATCATAGTACTCATTCATTTGTGATAGGCATTATTTTGATTATGGTAGGCAAGAATATAAATATAACACCTTTGCATTCGAACGGATGAGGCAGTACACATCTTCTATAAGTCAGATTTCTTCTGTAGTGGTAGAGCTACAGGAAAGCTGTGTATATAAAGAAACAATTAATTGTTGGACAAAGGAGAATATAAATTCTATATTATCTTAGACTTTCTTTTTTTACTAATCAATCTGTTGCAAAAATAAACCTTTTGAAAATCATTCCTTACATTTATGTACCAACAAAAAAACAATCCAAACAAAACCTACATCACAAAAAATCAGTGAACCCTGATATTCGAGTTCATAGGCATGTCAACCAGAATGATTTGCGGATGGAAACCGAAGTTTATCACCTAGAAGGTATTAATATATATATTTCGATTGATGTGATTGGTGGTAACTAAAAATAAAACAGAGAATAATACCCTCGGAATATGTATTTCAGAGTTAAGAAATCAAAATGCTTTACAAATAAAAACAGGATTTATGTAGCCTGAAGATAAAGGTACATCGAAGCTACAAACTTGAAATGATGGGATGTTTACTGATGTTTGAAGCAGAGAATGATAATTGTGATTTAGATATCGATCCCCATGTGGACGACCTCAGACCTAATTTCGCCGGGTTGAATCGATTTGTTGAGGCGTTGATCACATCTCTCCTGTCTGAAGCTAACGGTATTGATGAAAAAGATGTAAAAGCACTTCCTCAATCAATAATCTCTATAACTAATCTTGCAATAAAGAAAGACTCATTATCAATATTATAGTTTGCTGAAGTTGATACCTTTATCATTAGGGGGTTTAATATACTGAAATGTAAAGCAAAGATAAAAGGCCAAGGTCCGTATTATCTTTCCAGTAATGTATACTTGTTTAATAAATTACAGAACTTCCGTTTTTCTCACCTAACAATAACACAAAGGGAATATCTGACAAGATTGACTTGAAGAGTGTATTTGGAGAACATCCATTCAAAAAGCCAAGATTCAGATCTACTACATGTAGCTCAGGTATATATATATACCCAGTAAATTCTGGAAGTTTGGGAACAATGTTTGTCTAGAATCATCTGTTGATCTGAATATTGCTGATGCGACTTCGGCTAAGCCTTTTGCATATTACGACACAAATCACGAGTCCTCTCTCGTTGACATTATACATAACGATGGATACCGTTTGGTTTCACCCATCGGCGACGGAGCCCTCGAAAGCGATTGGAGTGTTTCCAAAATTGCTGATATCTACTATAATGAAAACGAGGCGGAATTCTGTGACGCTTCTGTATGGTATCGCTTCGCGCTAAGTATAAACAATACCTCTCAAAGCTCACTCTATGTCGCGCAGGTTTTGGATACTCAGTGTGGCTGTGAATTTCACAATATTATCGGAAAAGAGGATATTGATGGCGAGGTGCATTACCTGGTGGATTGGACCCCAACTTTGATACGAGATATTGTATTAAAAAAGGCACAAGCCCAGCCACTTATTGATCGATTCGAAACTCGACACCAGTTACCATCTGCGACTCGTTGCAGTCTAAATGCGAATCAAACCACAGATGCAAAGCCTTTACAACAGGTTGTGATCAAATCGAACATGCAAGTTGGTACTGGAAAACCGCGTGTTGGTCCTCGAAAATCCCCATACAGCTCTGACATTTCACCCAATGACCCAAGGGCCTCCAGAAGAGATACAGCAGAGAAAATGCTTAGAAGGTCTACAAATCCTATTAGGACTCCGAAAGTGGTTGATAACAGAAAGCTTAAAATAGTGAAAGGTGGACCGGAAACCTGCAAGAAACTCCCAACAGCTATGAGCTCTCGTGGAAGGGTCTTAAGGCCTAGAAAGATATTTGATTCAGGTGTCAATAGTGTCTAGATACATTAATCTCAGTCGTGGTGTTTACCCCGTGAGTTTAGCCGCCACCGTACTAGGCAAGGTGCATACACGTGCCAGCCGCCGCTTTCAACATCTATAAGAATCGCGCTCCCATTTCAACCTTCTTTCTCTTCAATTCCCTTCCAACACTTCTTCGTCTGGTCATTCAAACTCGCCATGCGTTCTAAGCCTCCTTCGTATCGACCGACTTCACGTTTCCTCTCACATCGGCCTCGCCACAGCTGAAAAACTCGATGGAACTATCACTAACTACAATTTTCGATTTGCTACCTTGAACTCAATGCTTCCGATTATTACGATCATGGTCAATCAACTTCGTCGCAATCTACTGGCTAAGGTACGAGGAATACAGCAATCCAGCTTCCTATCCTCACCACCGCATTATCGCAACCTTCACAATCACTTCGGTGACTTCAGCTGCAGAATCTTTCACTTTGGCCTTGACCTCTTTCACCATGATTTGGCCAATGAAAAAAATGCCTCATCATAGCATGGTGTGCTTCTGCTGTCTCACTGCGTTAGAGATAGCTTACGCGTCGAGGGAAGGATCATGGTAAGTTTCTGTACAGCGAAATCATGATATACGTAGTCTGCCTTGGACTTGGGCTGAGTTATGATGAGAACAGTTGATCTTACTATAAACTGCAATCTCCTGAGTATCGACGATAAAACGCTGGCGGTTCGAGAACTAGGTCTTTCGCAGACGGCCATGGGTATCTACAGGGAGGCAGGTCGTATGACCTCCGAACAAGTCCTATTCGGGGCTGTGGCCATGTCAGAAGGATGGACCTCATATTGAGCTTGGAAGGATTATCAGTACAATATCCTGTTTCTTGCAGGAAAGTGCATAGCCGCCAGAGTGGATCTACGGCCATCACACAATCTCATTTCTACAAAGAGAAGGTCCTCCGGTGCAAGTCGACTTGCATGAAAGCTGACAAGTGAATTTGGAACAGTCATTCGCGGTATTGCCGACGATCGAGAAATACTGCTGTGATCGGTACATGATGATGCGGAGGGGAGTGTTTGCAATAATCGCAGATAGGCATATTCCGGAATGAGAGCGTAGGATTGACAGTCTCATTCTGCAACTTCAGGGGATCATTTTGCGGATGTCTGGATGTATTGATGCCAAGGCATTTTTGATGGCGAGTACATGAAAGAAAGGGGCAGTAGGATGATAAGACCTCAAGTGGATCGCAACGCGTACGGCCATATTTAGGGACAGCAGTGCGAAAAGCATACTTAAACCCTTCGGTATTCCCCTCGTTTAGTTACAATCCAATCGCATCAACATAGCAGAGCATTCTATAATCAATCATCTTCGTACGCTCAAGATGGCTATTTTCAACCCGATTCCATATGATTATGTATCAACTGCCCCGCGCTTCAAAAGCAAAATAACTCATGGGCCTATACAAAGGCAATCCAGCGCTCTCGATAAGGCTGCTACTAACGATGATGAAGGCTACAGGTCAAAAGATCGAGGTGTGAAAGATTTGGCTTTTAACGATCGTAACTGACTTGTGAGAATCTGAACAGAGATCGATTCTGGCAGCAATAGCAATAACGACCTTGAATTTCCTACAATCAAAGAAGTACAATATACCACACTACAAAAGAATGTTGTATCAAAGGATTTGATTCTGAGGAACACAACTCGAGAGGATGGGATAGTTTTGGGCAAGATGGATAACAGCTTCTTATCGTTGGAGAAGATCCTTTTGCGTCAGGGAATGTCGATGGAAAGGCTTCAGGATAGCCGGGGCATTCAAGGTATATGCAATGGCTTTTGATCGCTATGATAAACAGTCTTCTGATCCTATACAGACAGGCCAATGGTTCTCGAAGATGACGAGTCGTACGTTTCCGATCTTGCATCAGCTTCCGTCCTCAGGCTGAACAAGCAAATCCATGCCACCAGCCATGAAGCATAGTATAATATCGAAAACAAAGAGTTTGGGAAGAACAACATCTGCCTATTGCGGGAAGGCTCGGATTGTCCACCCGCCCATAACCAGCCTCACTCTTGCCACTCCTCCCCTCGACCCTTACAGAACGAAATCAATCCATGCGGTAACAATAAAACCATGCAGGGCACGTCCCAGGTATCAGTGCACCATTCTTTTCCTGCTATATTGGATGTGGACGATGGAGAAAGTGAGAGAAGTATTTTTGGATATGAAGTAGGCTTGTTTCCAGTAATCGACAAGCAAGAGTTATCAGCTACCGCTTCCTTATCCCCACATCTCCACCGCTCTGCTCAGCCGTCGCATCCTGATTGGGAACATGATCAAAGCGCTTCCAGCCACTGCAGATTAGAGGGGCTCAGATATGGATCTCCACTTCATTTACAAGAAGAGGGCGAGTTCCGAGAGTATCAGCAGCAACAGAAAGTAGTAGGGGCGATAGAAGAGAAGTAAGATGATAGGAAGAAACAAGGAAAGAAGCGGTGGCATCCAGCCGAGATTGAGATTGACAGTGATAACGAGAACGATATGGATCTACAACCTGCAAAAAGGCAAAAGCTTTCTTCACTATTTACTGACAACTCTCCAACGCCTACCTATGAACACAGTCCAAGGCATCGTTTCAAACAGGATCACATCCCTACTCCATCTTCGACCACGCAATCCGAGGTGACTGAGTTACAGCCCCTGGGCCTCAACGGAAATTCCCCAACACCCATCGATAACGACCACTGCTACTCACCACGATCCCCTCGAAGTCCCTCTCTTATAGAGCCAGCACCAGCTGCCGAATATCAAGAATAGCCTTTCAAAGGGTTTCTTAAACGTACCAGGATTGGGAACAATACAATATACAATCTCGAGTTTCAGCTGCAACATATTCCAGAGCATCTTCATCTCCCCATTCTTTCCGAAACATTGAATATTGGTTCTGATGAGTTTACTTCTACAAAGGCTTCAATCCCTTGCAATATTGTATATTCAAAAGTACGATCAGGAATGCTACAGGCTAAGAGGAAACGCGTTCCATGGGAGCCAAGGGAGCACGAGACTATAACCAGGATGAAAAAGGATGATTGCTCCTGGGAGGAGATTCTTGATGCCCTCCCGCATCGAACTTCGGCGGCGATCCAGGTACAATACTCAACAAAACTCAAAAAGTAATTATGTTTGGGAGTTATAGGCCAATCTCCTTAAGATTTTCATCGAGTCCATACCCTAATATCTGATTTAGAAGTTGAGTGCCTGGGTATAGATGTATAAGTATGCTACGGAGCTATTAGATATTTGTGATAGCTCTGATGGGTTGTTACATGAATCACTTCCTGTTCTATACCTCACTCATTCATTCTCCTTTCCATACCTCACTCCCGATCAGGTCTAGACCCCCGCTTGTTTGCCCACCATGTATATTACTCTTATCGTAGAAGATTCTTCCCCTTCTTCCTCTTCTTTCCTTAGCTTAGAATCTTTAATAAATAGTATTCTACAAGTGTCTCCCTATGTACAACCTCCACAGTTACTATAGCCATATAGCCCTTCGCTGCTTCCATCCGCTATATGCGTGCACCAAGTGCATATAGTAAAAGCACGCATCGACGAATCGATGGCTAAGTGCCAGATGGGGTTGGCCAAAGAAGAACGTACTATAGTAACCTCATCGTAACCATCCGCATTGTTGAAAGTCGTGATCGGAAGTGATTGTTGTAAAATCGTCCAAAAAAAAAGCGAGAGAGCGGTGAAAATTTTTCGTTGCGAGGATTTCGTCGATTGCTTCGTGAATAGCATCAAAAGAATGCTATGCGTATTCTCTTCAGCTCTGAATATTACCGTGGTAGATCCAGGTTCGTAGCCAACACCTCGTACAGGTAGAGAATTCCGTCTTCGTTGACCTTGACATTACCCCAAGGTGTGGCGCAGTGGAGCCGTATATGCGATTCATCTATGTATCACGTGCTCAGTGAATTCTAAGGCTTGCTGTCACCGCACGGATCAGGCTACAGCCACTTCCAATAAACCTTAACGACCTCGGATGTGGCTTAAATTCTTTTAGTCACGTTGGAAAATGCGAGTACAATTGAGGAAATTGATACCTCATGTCTGTCTAGCTGCCGGATCCTGCAGGTTTGATACACTATTTTATACAGCCTTAGCCTTTTGCTTTTATAATTGAATCCCTACTGATTGTTTTATTCACTTGGCCCATTTTATATCACTATGCCTATTGGAAAGTGTGACGGAACAGACGGCTCTCTTCCGCCCACTGGCTCATACTACATACATAGTATGATATGACGGCCCTTTTGGACCTTCCTTTCACAGTTTAGAGCCCTAGCTCTATAGCTCTAGACCTAGGCATTGTACGATGCTTATCTCTAGGACTCTTTCACTCTTCTAGGCCTAGCCCTTATGGCTCCCAAATACCTGTATATATAGTCCTCCTTTTAGCACCCTATATAGTTCTTCACTTGTAGATTCTAAGTACACAATCGGAGTCCTATTTATACCCTTTTGGTCACATACACCTTCTTTATTGACAGGTATAGATTGCGGCTCAATTATGGTTATAATGGGTGAATTTACAGACATCTGATTTTCAGAAAGATCTGATAATAACCAATATACAAATAATAATAAAATACTTTTATTTGGATAATAATATTGACTTTTCTTTGATTTGGATATTATTCGAATTTTCTTATTCAGAATTACTTTTAATTGAATTACAATATTTTTAAGATTAGGATAATGTTTCTATAAGATATCCAACCAGTCGGGTAGGATCTATTTGTTGTAGAGTCTGCTATATGTTCAGGATATGTAAAAGTTACTATAAAGATGGAAAAAAAAGATTGCATAAATAATAGGCATTTTATTAAAGTAATAATCTTTAGGATAAGATTGATTTGAATGAAATTTATAGT